CAGTCACAGCCATGTACGGCGGCGGTGGCGAAGACGCCGCGAGCGAACTCCTTGAATACCTCGTCACCATTGTGGAGAGTGATGGAGAGGCCGTCGGAGCAGCAGACAATGGTGACGTCGTCACGTCCGCGCTCGAGGCCTGGGCCTTCGTTGCGAGCCAAATGGACGACATTAGCGAGAACGTCTACTCAGCCATCGACGCTTTTGTGGACCAGCTCGACAGCACAGACGTCGAGGTCCAGGCGAGCGCCGGTTTCAACATCGCCTTCATCTTTGAGGCCGCGCGCGACCAAGAAGAGGAGACCGGCGAGCCGATGAATCTGCAGTACGACCCGAAGAAGCTTATTGCCCGCATGGCCGAGGCGTCCAAGCCATCGGTGAAGCAGACGGCACGGAGAGATAGGAGACATCTGCGTAAGCAGTTCGCCAGCATCGTGTCGTCGCTTGAGCACGGAAAGGGACCCGGATTCTCCACCGCCGGGCGTCCAGCCTTCAACCCCCATACCGGTGGCACCAAGGCCGACCCTCGATCAGCCCCCCGAAGCGAGGATGACAACGATATGCGTGGCTTTGGGTATCGCGAGAAGTTGCGCCTCGGTTCTTCCGTGGTGCTGATCGACTCGTGGTCTCTCATGGCTCGCGTCGAGGCGGCGAGAACCATCTTGGGAGGCGGCCTCCCAACTCACTTCAATGATAACCCCACCGTGGCAGACCTACTTGGCGGCGCCGAGACGGAAGAGCCATCGGGCCAGGGTTACTCATTGCACCCTAGAGATGCGAAGAAGATGAGGAGATAGAACGGCTCGGCGGAGAGAGACCAAAGTGATACACGGGGCTGGGAGTCTATTGACTAGGCATTGCCCACCAAAGGAGTTTTGCATGAGATCAGAGGCTCGCATTGTGAGAAAGATTGCGTTGGGTACTTTTCTTTTCCTTCAACAAGTAGAAACTCGCGGACGACGAAACAAAAGGAATCAGTCATCTGGAGTTCAGAGACATCAATAATATGCGTGGTACGAACGAGCAAAGAAGATACCACAGGGCAGAAGATCCTCGCATCGCCGTACTTTTATTTAACCCACCCTACAAATACCAACTCGTTTCTTTTTGGAATACTCTTGATGATGAATTTTTCTCCTTGTCCTTTTCGTGATCAATCATTGACTCGTGGAGACCAAATCTGATGGGCCATTCCCCCCCTTCCCTCGCCCCCTTTGCGACCTCGACTACTGCGGGTATCCGCCCGGGCGGCGTTCGCAGGTCGCACGGCGGCAAATCCTCATTAGCCCTCGGATGCCGGTCATAGTAGTAGAAGACAAAGACGGAAAGAGGGGAACGGCGGACGAGATAGGTCAATGTTCAATGGGCGGTCACAGTGTAGGGATTTTTTTTTTTGTGCGGCGGAGGCATGCAATTCGAGGCACGTCGGACGGCAAGATTGGTGCAAACGGGTTGCAGGCAGGAGCCCACAGGTGCATGCGTTGGCGGGGGGTTCACGAACGGATGGGCGGGCTTGACTGGTGAATCCGTTTACCTGTGGTTATGCAGAGTATCTTTTTCCCTGGACGAAGTAGGTACTGCAGCAGTGGTTTGCAGTAGTCCTGGATATGCCAGGCATACGGTTCGGGGGTGGGGGAGGCTTTTCGTGAGCAGTTTTGGAGCCCGACAGTCAGAAACTAGGAACACGCTGGGAGAAGGGGCCTCGGCTCTCGAGTGCGTTTACGATATCGACGACGTTGGGTTGCAAACGGGGAAAACGTGGGTGCCGGCATGGGCCGCCGGCCCCAAGCGGGCCTGGGGAGAGAAAGAGGGATCTCTGGCCGCCCTGGGACCTCGTCTTTTTTGGTTGTCGAGTCCAAAAGAGACGACGAGCAGGAAGTGGGGGGCGGGTTCGAGCTCGGTTTGCCACTTGGGTACGCGGACATGTTGGGCTTTTGTTTGTCCCCCCCCCGACTGACTGCGCCAGCCACTATCCCAAATCCCAACGATCAGCCGAGGAGACGGGACAGACGAGGCGAGGCGTAAACGATTCGAGCGGAAATGGTCCGGAACCTCATGCAGTGGCGACTGTCAAACGCTTCGACGTCTGGACGGTGATATTGGGGTGATGGCTGAGATGTTGTGTGCCTGTGTGCCTGTGTGCCTGTGTGCCTGTGTGCCTGTGTATGCTTGGGCCCTTTTGTTTGTAAAATGACGTACAAGAAAAGTCGTTCGATGCTGATGAGTGTTTCTGCATTGTCAAATCGGAATCGAGGGTCTCGGTCAGAAAACGGCGCCATCCGTGACAGATAGACATGAGTGTTCAGTTGTGTTAATGAGAGCTGAAGACTACTGGTGTTGGCTCGCCAAGTCCGTAGTTGGGTTTGGGTGATGAATGTGGGCTGTCAAGTCCCTAGTGTCTCAGTGTCGAAAGGTGTCATTGTGTAGAGCTCTCCCCCGTCCGCCCGCCCCTCTTCTCGCACACGGGCAAGCAGAGAAGACCAGGCTTCCCCGTTTCTGTCATTCTTACGCCCCTGTCTAGTGGATGATCACTTCTCCAGTATCTCCTCCCGTCGCCCAGCCAAAACGCTTGAGCCACCGCCGGGAGCCCGCTTTTATCCTGAGCTATAGAGGGGCTCGGTTCGCAGGGAAGTCCCCTTTAAGAAAGTGGAAAACGAAAGTGTCGATGGCTTTGTTTGTCGTTTTTTCATTAGGAGCCAATACGTAATAACTTAAATCCAGAGCTGGGAAGAGCAGATATATCCATCATGTGGAGAATGGTCTCGGAAGAATTACATGAAGAGAAGATCCCCGAGGACGAGTACCTATTCGTGGAGTGGATGGATGACCGATTGTGTGATTGTTCACATTAGGCGGGGGGCTGGGAGACAGGGGTTCTTTCGGACCAGCAAACAGGCCTGACAGGCTCTGAAGGCTGTTCGTTATCTCGATGGCTTCCCAGATGTCCGGGCAGTTCTCGATGCCCAGATCTGACTTTCGAAGCAATAGGTCAATTTCCGGACCGGACGAGAGAACGCAAGGCGGGCAAGGTCCAGGGTTTTCACCACCGGCTGCGGGAAGAGGAGACGGCGGTGAGGATAGTCGCCTTCTCGCAGGGCGGCTTTCGAGGGCTGTGGGGGAAAACGTGACGGTGGAGAGCGGTTTGTGTGGTGCAATTCACCCCGTTCAGTGGCCCCAGGCAGATGCGAGTAGCGCAGAACGCGTATTGGTGACAGACATGGCAGATAGTGCGGTTCATTGGTGTCGGTCATGGTAAGAGACTCTTGAACCAAAGTCACCAAGGTGTGTGTGTGTGTGTGTGTGTGTGTGGGAGCAACTTACATATTGCGTACGAAGTGGTAGTATCTCTCTCTGCAGGGCCCCTTTCACACGCCCCCAGCCTGCGGCGGCAATTGGTCTGCCGTGCGTGCCTCCCGGTGCCCTCCAAGCTGCTTTCGGGAAGGGAGCGAGGGACAACTCATCAAAACCTCCACCCCGTGGGACCTTGTCTGGCAGCACCCCGACCAGTCGTCTTCAAGAGGCTCTGGTCTTTTCAGTCACTTCGGCCTCAATCGACACCGGTAAGTTGGGACGAGGGACGCGACTGGATGGGATGTGTGTGTGCGCGCGCGTGTGTGCATGTGTCCTCGAATGAAGTGAGTGCGCCGCATTGCCCACCCGGCGAACATTTGCGCGGTGGCCATTGCTTCTTGTCAATATCGGATCTTGACCAGTGTTCTCAGCCCAAAGGGACCCAACCCCGGCTCAGCCCAGTCCAGTCCATCTTGACATTACTAGTGTACCTTCCCCTTTGGTGTAAGACAGGGGCAACACACATGTACACAACAAACGTGGACCAGGCTTGGGCGGAAACTCACAATAAGCACCATCCCAAGTCCAACGCAGAGCCCGACGAAACGTCCCTCCTCTGTCAGCCGTGCTTCCCTGTCCTTTGGCTCTTAGGTTCGTGCTTATGTGCTCCTTTCAACCTGCATCATCCAAGATTGGACCTCGTCGCTTGTCGCTTGTCGCTTCCATCTGGCTTACCCCCGGCTTGCCTCGTTCTCGAAGACCCCCCCCCTCCCCTTCCCGCCAGTTACGAGTACCAGACTTCGGGTACCTCCCACACTTCCCAACCTCGCCTTACCGACGACCTGTTTGCTATAGTCGACCCGTTTTCCATTGATAGCGGCAGTCCTCTTTCTTTCCTCCCTTCCTCACCTTAATTGCACTCTTTGTTCTACCTGTTTCGTCGGTACTTGTGGTGGTGGTGAATTCGTACAAATAACCAAGTTGGGGCACAAAAGAAAAAGACGGGTTGGTCTTCGACCCCCTGGCCAGAGCTTTACTTACCTGCCTGCCTCTCTGATTTAGCTCCAAGATCCGCTGACAGACACAGCGACTGGGGCAAAAACATCGACCAACCGCCTACCCAGCCACCCCAGTTTGTGAACCTCACACCCCGACTGAGACCACTTCCTTGGCTTCCCTCTTTGCGCCTTTCGAACTTGCGCTCGCCATTTCCCCTCCCATTTTCAGCCTCTAATCCCCAATTTCGCAGTCATCGTTGCTTTTCTGCGCGCATTGCGAGTTTGTGTTGTTGTGTGTGTGGCATAAGCGGCCACAGTCATTTTATCATTCCTTCTTTGGAATCCTTTCGTTCGCTGTCGTTTCGCAAATATCGCCGGACTCGTCAAACGACCAGGTGTGAAGTGTGAAGCTCGCTCGCTCAGCTTATCACCCGGCCTGCCCAGTTTTTTTTTCCCGCAGCAACGAACGGCTGCTCCTCATGTCTTGACGGCGACCGCACCCACAACAAATCCTTGCCCACCTTGGACGGCAACCGGCAAACCCACCCACACTCACTCTTCCTTCCCTCTTTCCTTCTTCTTTCCTTGATCGAGGGAAGGACAAGATCCAAAAAGAAGAGAGGTGTGTGAGCCGTCGAACGAGGCACTCGTCATTCGCGCCTGAGCCCCTACCGCCTCTTCATCGCCGAGGCCTTCGAGCATCGCACCACAATGGGTGTTGACTCGAACAAGCCACCTCCACTTCCTGCCCCGACCGAGACCGATTCCGTCACCCCCACCGAGCTGGCGACCGATGTCTCCAGACCTGCTGACGAAGCTTCTCACTACTCCCTCCCTGACGACGGCACTCCCGTTACCATCAAAACCAGAGGCCACAGGGCCAGCCGCTCACAAACCTCGCTCCTCATCGAGTATTTTGAAGGTGGCAAGCCTGGCCCCTCCGGCACCATCGACCGCAAGCCCAGCGTTCGCGTCCGTTTGACCCCGTCCAAGAAGAACCGCCACGACCACATTCAGATCACAGAGACAAACGGCAACACCCGCAAGACTTCGCTGACCCGCCGTGTGCCTCTGCCGCCCCCGACAGGCTCGTCGCATCTCGAGGTTGAAGACTTGGAGGGCGAGGACGCCGAAAGCATGCGGTCTTACGCCTCCGCCACGGAGGAGTCCAATGTTTCGAGGAACCCAATAGACATTGAAATCGACCGCAGCGGCCGGCGTCGTCGACCAGCGAGCCCGTTGATCCCCGACGGCGATGCTCAATCTTCGTACCTGCCTCCCAACATGTCCGACATATCAGCCATCCCCCAGGACAGCTTCCTTGACGGCTCCGGCTCCACCGTTCTGACGAGAAACTCTGAGAGACGCAGCAAGAGCTCGACTCAAGGTAACGAGCTAGCCGCTGGTGTCGTCGGCGCAATGGCCGGTGCTGCGATAGCTGATCAGGCAAAGAGCAGTAGAAGCAAGAGGCACAGTGGCGAAAGGAAAGCGTCCGGTGAAAGATCCTCGAGAGACAAAGACCGCAAGCACCGTTCGAGCAAAAGTCGAACAAGTAGTGTCAGCGAGAAGCAGTCCGAAGGAACGCGATCACCCCGCCGACGGTCGAGTCGGAGTCATGTGGACTCGGTTGTGTCTGGGGCAGATTCCAGTCTTTTATCATCCAGCATTTCTCCCAGTCACCGCTCCTACGATCAGAGCTCCGTCCGCTCAGGGGCTTCCAAATCGTCCATCAACAACCCGAAACTACTAGAGACTGTGGAAGATGCAATTCGCCGGCTTATTCTGCCGGAACTAAGCGCCCTAAAGAGGGAGCAGAGCAAGCGCGAAAGCCGCCGAAGCTCCCTTACATCCACCGGCACAGGGACATCTCTTTCTCGTGAGGATCTGGGAGTTGATCGACGCAGATCTGCCGACAAACGCGGTGAGTCCGGCCGCGACAGCCGACACCGAGAGCGCAGGGACCGGGAGGCCCGCCATGATTATGTCGACTCTCCCCGAAGCATTGCCGGCGAATCGGTCGAGGAATCATCCATCATTTCTGTTGACGACACACCGCGGCGGAGTGATGGTGCTCTCAAAGCCGCCGTTGGTGGTGCAGCGGCCGCTGGTCTCGCCGCCGCCGCCTTGAATGCAGCATCGCCATCCTCAGAGGAGCCAAGGCAGCGTAGGCGCCGGCGCGCCGACAATTCAGCCAGGAGCAGGAGCGTCGGCCGTGAGAAGTACGACGAGGAATTTCACGAAGAACAGCCACCTGCGCCTCCGATGCCGTTGATGAGCGAAATTAACCCCTCCGAAATGACGAGAACCTCGATTCTTTCGGCCGAGACCGATCGACCCCATTCTGCTATGGAGGAGAGAGCCTCAGTTCAGGAGGTTACCCGGGGCAACGCCTCCATGGGCTCATCACCAACACCAACCCAAACGCCCGCGTTGGATATGCCACTGACGCTCGGCACAAAGCACGCCAACATTTCTCATGGTGACCTGCGGGAACTTTCTCGCTCGAGGACTGGAGATTTCGTAGATCAGCGCGAAGCGGATGAATTCAGCCAAAGCCCCTCTCAGCAAATTCGTGATGAGTACGACGACGACGACTACGACGAGCAAAGTCGCATTACGGAGAGCGAAGGCGACTATGCCGACTCCCACAACGAATTCGACTACTACAACACTCAAGATGTCCCCCCACCGCTAAAGTATGTTCCATACCAACCCGAACGGCGCGGCCTGAGTCCCATCTACAGTGTTTCTGGATACACAGAGGCAGGAAGCGAGACAGCCGCGCAGCGCGACTCCAGACTTTCTCACGGAACCGCTTCGCCCACGAAGTCGCAGGCGTCTCACACTGATCTGAGAGCCCTCTCGCCCGCTTCGGTGCCAAGCAACGTCGTTAGCCGCGGTTTCGACGAACAATCCATTGATGACCGCAGCATCAAGAGCGGCCAAGACTACCGAAACAGCCAGTACACAGAGGGCAGCGAGATTGGTGCTTCTACTGGTCAGGCTGTCAGGGGCATCGCTGCCAGCCCCAACATCATACATGTGCCCCACGGAGTTGAGTCCAATGTGGCTTCTCTTGTGGACGGGTCTATGCTTGATCAGTCCGTTCTCACTACCGGATCTGGTTACGATTATAGGGACTCGCAGGCCTCGTACGCCAACGAGTCCAATCTTTCGTATGGCCCGGACTCCCGCGTGTCCTATGGCAAAGACTCAAACGTTTCGTATGACGACCAGTCCAAGATGCAGCCTCGATCCCGAGATATCAGCCCCGAAAAGCGCTCTGTTGCCGACCAGCGTGAGTTCTTTGAGCAGCGTGAGCGCGAGAGCAGCCGAACGCCCACCTCAAGCCGCCAGAGCCACCGTTCGAGGGAGTTTGCTGGAGAATACGAACTCGATGAGTACGGTAGGAAGGTTGCTCCCGCTAGGTACAGAAACTCTCCCTCTACTTCAACGAGACATTCCCCGACTGCTTCGGAAAAGGCCATTGCCGCAGGGGCCGTAGGCGCTGCCGCAGCTGCCCTCAAGGCCGCCAAGGACAGGACGAAGCAGCCAACAGTGGAGGAGGTCGATGAGGAACACGAGGAATGGGCCCCTGAAGGTGTCTCGAGAAACAAATCGTTCAAGCAGCGAACAATGGAGGGTCGCGAGCCCGCAAACACCCCGGCCCACAGCATCGACCGCCTTGACTATGAGGAGCATCCCAAGATGGGTGCCAGTGCCATGCCCACCTTTGATAACCCGATGCCCGAGGTTGGATACGTGGACGATGATGTCTTGACAAACCCTTCTCTGGTTCGCGAGCCGCTCGGCGGCAGCGACCACGACGATCGCGGTCATTGGCCGGGCGATATTACTCCTCGCCAAGGTACCCCTCGCCAGAGCGACTATGGCAATCACCAAGAACACGACACAGAGAGGCACAACGGCCACGGTTACGGTATGCTCGCCGCTGGCGCCGCTGCCGGTGCCGCAGCTGATGCAGCCATGTCACATAGCCGACAAGCAAGCGGAGACCATGAAGATGAGTGGCGTCGCACGTCGGCTGAGCGAAAGCGGGACACCGTCATCACAAACCCTTATGACGGTGCGAGCCCGGTCGCTCACCCAGATCTTCTCGACGGCAGAGGATTCGAGGACTATGGTACTCCGTATCACATGGGTAGTCCTGCTGGGCACAAGAACTTCGACGAGGGTTACATCTCTCAGGGCCCTATACACTCGCCCAACATGCAGCCCGCTGGCAAGGCTCTCATGCCTTTCCACGACCCAACTGCCGAGGATCCCTTTTACGTCACTCAGCACACTCGACACTTGAGTGGTTTGTCTCAGGGCATGGAGTCTCCTCTTTACGACGCAGCCACTGGCAACGGTATTGACAGAATCGAGTCCAAGGATATCATTGCTCTGATGCAGCATCTTATGGTCCGTGACGCTCAGCGAAGTGCCCGCGACACGGAGATCCTCGTCACGCTCGTCCGTTCTGCGGCTGAGATGCGTAACTCTTTCGATGATCTCAAAAAGCTTCTTGCCAATACCGAAGACGTCATCATTAAGGAGGTACAGGAAAACACCGACGAAACGGTCAAGAACGCGGTCAGCAACTCTCGCGCTTACCCCGTCAGCCTTCCCCGTTCTGTCAAGGGGTACAGCGGCGCCTCGCAGAATAGCACTCTAGATGAGACTGCTAAGAAGAGCAACTTCTTCCGCAAGGCGCTCAAGGGTCTCAGCACCAAGGGCACCAACGACCTCAGTCGGATCGAGGACATGCTCATGCAGCTGCTTGGTGAAGTCGACACACTCAAGGCGCAGACCATGCGACCCGGCATGGTCAGCGGGCGACCCTCTTACGAGAACCTCACTCCGGAAATGCAGTACGATCAAGACCGGGGTTACGAGCCCGAGGGACAAGCTGGCACCTCCACCACGAGCCACGGTAGCCATTCCGGCATGTCGTCCTTCGCCCAATCTCGCGGACCCTCCAAGCTGGCGTACGAGCCCAACCGCATCAGCACAGTTCACGAGGATAACGAAGAGGACTTCAACTCTCAAGGCCACTATCACAATCCGCAGGGCCTTCTCACACCTAGCCGTGAATTCCAGCGTGGCGGATCGGTTCCTCTCGGCACTCCTCCCCAGCCTCAGGCCGCTCAGAATGCCTCGTTGAGCAACGACAACACCCCCAAAACGGACAAGGGCAAGAAACACAAGAGAGGCTCCTCGAGCTGGTTCCCCAAGATTTCTCGCTGGTCTGAATCAACGGCCACGAGCGTAAGCAAGGCCTTCCGTGGCAGCGGCTCCAGCAAGAAGGAACACGATGAAGAGTTCCTGCAACATCCCCCGTCCCGGTCCGGATCGGACCTTCGCTACGACGACCGCTATCAGAACGACTACGGCAGTGACCAGTTGCACTCTGGCTTCTCCCAGCAGGACCTCGCTGTCCCTAACCCGCCTCATCTGGAGAACGTGCCTCCCGCTCCCTACATGACTCCGGAGGACCCCAAGTACAAGGCACACCGCAACTCAGTCAACCTTCAACACCCTCAACCTCGTCAAGGACAGACTGAGCGATTCAAGGCGGCGCTTGAGAGCCAAGCGTACGAGTACGACACGCCTATGTCCCCCAGGTCTGCAGACTGGGCCGGTTCAGCTACCAGCCTCCATCGCTTCCCCCCGAACGGCAACAGCTATAGCAACGGGTCTGGCGCGACAGGGGGTGACTACCCCAGCTCGCCGTCCGCCGGCCCCCCGCGACCTCCCAAAGAACCGATAGAAGAAAGGACACACACACCTGCCAAGAAGCGCATCTCCAACTTGGCTTTGAAGTCAAGCCCTCTGCCGTACAATAGCGTAGAGAGTGGTTACGGCACCGGCCCCGGCACCCATGCGACTAGCAATTACACCGGCAGTCCTAAGCCGGAGAACCGTAACCTCACCGGAGCCCGTGGCATGCCGGCCCGTCGGCCTAGTGGGCCCCGGGCGATGACCCCAAAGAGTGCGGAAGAAGAGGCCGCCAGGGAAGAGCGACGCCGCAAGAGAGGTAAGCATTTGGATTCCAAGGTTGATAAAAAAAACACATTCTAATCGTACGTAGACACCTTCGGCACAGTCGCCAGTAACGAGACCGACACCTTTTAGAACAAGATTTCTTACCGCAACTACCGTTTGCGCACAACGAACTAGGCATTACCACATGAATGGATGCTCCCGGATAGCTTGGACCACATGATCAGCTAAAATCATTGAACATATTGGATGCAGAATGAGCGATCTGCTATAGAGTTGCAGAGAAGAATCTGCTGGGCGGCAACAAACCAAAAAACCGGCAAAAGTCGCACATAGTCGAGGGGAGAGGGGAGCAGAGCGGGGAAGAGAGTATTTTGGTTCACCACTCAACCTAACGACGACATGAGAAGCAATTGATGGCTTTGCGTTTGAGCGATATTTTTGAGAGGGGAGGAAACGGCAAAACCTCATTTGAGCACGTTGGTCAAGGCCGAGGCTAAGGATATTGGCTTGGAATGCGCGACGTTCGTCGATACCACATCTTGGCATTCTTGCGTCGTGTTTTTATTCTTTTTGCCCATGGCAGCTGGGAGGACGCAAGAGGCAGGATACCATAAGGAGAGAGGTGAGTGTAATAGTAGTCATGGATAATGGAACATTTGCCCTGCATCTCCAAGATTGAATCGATCGTTCAGTGACCATGACAAGACAATGTGTCCCAGGAGGAAGTGACACTGGCTGCTTGCTTGGTGTTTTGATTTATCAGCCAATGGCTGACATGCGTGATTACTTAAGTCCCGCGCGGCACTAGCCTGCATCCTGCAGCTATCGTGCGTCTTCCCCCCTGACTTGGAAGTGTTAGTAATGCGCGCTGTAGGTAATTCGCAAACGCGAAGATGTCGTGCCATAGTGAATGATTATCAATCCACCTCGGTTTCTTGGGAACGGCAGCTCGCATCGAGTCAATGAGGTCGGAACCCGGAAAGGAGGTATATAAAGCTCAGATCTCAGAAGATGGAACTGCCCCTTTTCAGAACACCATCGCATCACCTTTGACTGCCTACTTGAATACCGTCATAAAGTCTTCATTATACACGCTGCTCAGAAAGACCTTTCCAAACTCCTTCCAACCCAGTCTTCTCCGATCACTTATACACAGAGAACAAAGATGGCGCCCATCGCCCTGATCCTCGGCGCCGGCAAGAACATAGGCGCCGGCGTCGCCGCCCACTTCTCCGCGGCGGGCTACTCAGTCGTCCTCGTCGCCCGCGGCTTCCCCGCCCCGTCCCCCTCGACGGACCCGGAGACAGGCCACCTCCGCATCCGCGCGGACCTTGCGGACCCCGCGCAGGTCCGCGACGCCTTCGCCCAGACGAGGCGACACTTTGGCGGGGCGCCGCCGCGGGTCGTCGTCTACAACGCCGCCACGCTGACGCCGCCGCCCGACGCCGGGAACCTGTTCAGCCTGCCGGTGGAGCAGGTTGAAGCGGACCTCCGGCTCATGAACTCTGGCGCATGGGTCGCCGCGGGCGAGGCCGTCCAGGGGTGGACGGAGAACGCGGATGCGGATGAGGGGCGCAAGGGGCGCTTCATCTACACGGGGAACATGCTGAACGTCGCCCCGCTGCCAGTGCCAGCGCTGGTAACCCTGGGGATCGGGAAGAACGCGGCCTGGTCTTGGGTCGGGCTCGCCGACGCGGTGTACAAGGACACGAAGGGCTGGAGGTAGGTTTTTCCCTTTTATCTGTGTTTCCTCGAACTCTATCCCCTCCGTTTCTACATGGCGTTTGCTGCTATTCCTGAAAATGAAAGCAATAGCTAACCATGACAGATTCTTCTACGCCGACGAGAGGAAGGCGGATGGGAGCAGCATCGGCAACGTCCCCGACGCCAATTCCAACGGCAAGTTCTACCTGGAGCTTGCAGAGGGCGCGAAGGACCTGCCCTCCACCGTCACATTTGTCGATGGCGAGTACAGGAAGTTCTGAAGGGAAGGTTGCGTTGGGAAATCTGTGAAAACAGAACCACAGGAAGTGGGGAAACGTAGGACAGAAGCACAGATACAATGAACAACATGGGAATGCCGTTTTAAATATGCAAACAATTGTCCATGTCGCGTTATTGTATCCAGCGCAATTGCGAAATTCGTTGACTCGCTTGGATTAATGGGTTCCTGCCGCGTAATGACATCGGCACCAAGAGTAACATACAAAAGACCATTCAACAAGGACTTAGACAGGGAAGCATAACACAGTAAAAACATACAGACAGGAACCATCGGAGACTCTGCTTTCAATGATACCTCAAGACATAGTCTTGCTGTTTATTCAGCAGGCTGCATCCTTCGCATTCATCGATCTGCGTATAAGCCATATTTAGAGTAAGCCTATTCGAACTACTCCTAATTCCTTATTGGGTGCTCACCAGCTCTGCGGTATAGGAATATCATGCCGGATGGGTGTACTCAGAGGTCAAAGATCGAAGATCGGAGGGCGAGAATAGCACGTCCTGACCTAAGCTTGTGGGTTTGAACCCTCCACAACACCTCTCGGCAGCCAGGCGGTACTCTCGGTTCAAGCTACGAGACACAGCCAGCAGCTGCACTCCGTACATAAATCTCTTCCCAGTTAACGCTCAACGACGCTGAGGCGTGAACCGACACTGGCTAATTGCTTACGTCACACCTGTCAGAATAACTGGGACCACCGGGCTATCGGGGGACAGCCCCTCATTGCATTAGCGGGGACGTAGCAGCAGGGCGGGATGTGCGCTCCCTTCCGCAAAATCGTTACCCCTCGAACGACTTTCGAGTCCGCTCAGAGGCAACGATCGTTAGGCCATATTTGCCAACCCTTCCCTTTTCCGCCGCCCTCTGCATACCGATACACGATGCCTCGAGATCCGCTCATCGGTCTGGTCGGCAAGCCGTCGGCCGGCAAGAGCACGACGCTCAACAGTCTGACAGACGCCTCATCAAAAGTTGGTCCGTAAACCTCCAAAGCCCGTCCCGACCGAGAGTCGAGGAAGAAAAAGAAGAAAAAAAAGAAAAAAGAAAAATCCCCCGACCCCGCCGACCTGGTCGCTGATGGAATACCGTGAACAGGAAACTTCCCGTACGCCCTGCCACCCTTCCACTCCCGTCCACCTTGCCTAACCTCCAGACGCCGCTCCGGAATGGGCGTGTGACGGGGCCGCACTCCTACGTATACTAACCCCTCCCGGCGCATCTAGGTTCACCACAATCGATCCCCAACGAGCGATCGGCTATCTCCAAATAGATTGCGCCTGTGCGCGTTATAACGTCTCGGACCGCTGCCGGCCCAACTACGGCGCCTGCGTCGGCGGCCGGCGCTCAGTGCCAATAGAGCTCCTCGACGTCGCCGGCCTCGTACCTGGCGCGCACCAGGGCAAAGGCTTGGGCAATAAATTCCTCGACGACCTGCGTCACGCCGATGCGCTGATACACGTGGTGGACGCCTCGGGCACCGTCGACGCCGAGGGCAAGGAGACGCGCGGCTATGACCCCTCGGTCGACATCGCCTGGCTTCGCGGCGAGATCGTGGCGTGGATTCGCGGCAACCTCATGGAGAAATGGGGTTCGATCCGGCGGCGGCACATGGCCATCAAGGCGACGGCCGTCGACACGCTGCAGGGCCAGTTCTCGGGATACGGCAGCACGTCCAACGTCGTGGCGCGCGCGCTGGACCGGTTGGGTATCAAGGAGCCGCTCGAGGACTGGGACGCCGAGACCATCGACCGCGTCGTCAACGCCTTCACGGACGAGAAGTTCCCGACCGTCATCGCGCTCAACAAGATCGACCACCCGGACGCCGACAAGAACATCTCCAAGATCGCCAAGATGCAGGACCCCAACACCATTGTGCTGTGCTCTGCCATCTCGGAGATCTTCCTGCGCAAGATGGCCAAGCAGGGCTACATCAAGTACACGGAGGGCAGCGAGTTCGTCGACACGAGGGAGGACCTTATCGAGCAGGGCGACCCGACAGGCGGCGGGCTCAAGGAGCTCGACGAGAAGAACCGCAACCGGATAGAGAACCTCAAGGACATGGTGCTCTACCGGTTCGGGTCGACGGGCGTCGTGCAGGTACTCTCCAAGGCAGCCGAAATCCTGGGCCTCGTTCCCATCTTCCCGGTGCGCAACACGACCTCCTTCTCCTCCGGCGCCACCGATTCCCGTTTCGTCTTCCGCGACTGTGTGCTCGTCAAGAAGGGCACGACAGTGGGCGAGGCGGCACGCAAGGTCATGGGCGACGCGCCCATAGCGTATATTGAGGGCGCAGGAGGCCAGAGAGTCGCGGAAGACGACCTCGTTGCGGTTGGGAAGAACGACGTAAGCGCTCGCACCCCCCTCCCTTGCCCCCCTCCCCTCCTCCCCCAGCTCTGCATCACGCGAAAGGTTAGGTAGCTAACATCTCATCAGGTCCTATCGTTCAAGGTCGGACGAGCTTGAACGCGGAAGCGCGCGGATAGCCCCGGATTGGCCGGTGGCAGTGTGCTCATTTTCACCTCTGCTCGCATAGTCAATGAGACCCAGTGACCATGCACCGCCCCTCCCTAAAACAAAGAAGAGTTCATCGCAAATCGCAAAACAAGCTCCATAGAGTTGGTGGCGGTACGGATACTTCGGGAAGCCCCCCTCTTTTGCCCATGATACCCAGCAAGGCGATATCGTCACGGGGCTGAAAACAGGGCCACACAAGGGTTAGGCCTCGAACCCCAGATTAAAAGAAGAAGAGATATAGAAAAACACCAGCAAAACCAAAACCTCAGCCCTCGTGCGAGAATGAGCTGCTCAGCGCTTTTTCGCGAGAGCATATCATTGCGGCTGGGTAGTGGATCTGGCTGGTATAATGAGATTTTCATACACGCGATGCTCTTACGGAGTACCAAGGAACGATCGGCGTCTAGATAGCTTGGAGTTTAATCTGTGGAAAGGCGCTGCGCTTCAGCAGCATCTACGAGCCAGGCTAAATGGGGGCCGTCATGCCAAGCTTGCGTACGCGTCTCTCGGATCCCGGTTATCTTTTTTGGTTTACGGTGCTGCCACGTCAAGTACCCTGCCTCAGAAAGTGGAATGGAGCAGGGCAGATGACAGAGGCGTGTGCAGATAGGCATCATTGGCTAGATCCTAGACATATGGTGGTGGTGGGGGAAATCTACCAGGGTTATTTCTCAAAAGAGTTGATTGCCCGGGCACACCCAGTACAGACATAGTGAGAAATTAAGCTCTAGTAGCGTTGCTAAGTCGGGTGCTTCAATGCTAGCTAACAACCCAATTTTAGCCCAAGCTTCAGCGTTTGTATGCTAGAAACATGACATCACACAAAGCGCCAGCAATCACAGTGGAGCATTGAACAACTTCCTGAGCCATGAGCAACATGCTCTACGGCGCATATCACGTAGATCTCGCCAGTTTCACCAAATGGATAATCATCAAAACAAAAAGTAAGAGTTGTAAATAGAGATGGATATGTCGGGTATCGAATTAAGCGTGCTGTACACGGCGCAAGTCTCCCATCCCTCCTACTGTTCTTGGATGATTGTCCAAAACGAAAACGTTTCGAAAAATCGCATACCGCAACAGTGTGAGAAAGAAAAAGCCGTGAGGAGAACCGCCAGGAAAAGGAAAGAAGGCCGTTGCTGTGCGTCATTGTCATATAAACAATTGAGGTGGTCGAGGAAGAGATGGTCATCCCTGCATAACGACCGGGGCTCCCTGTCATCGTCGGAAGAGGAACGCGCAATTGTTGCCGGATGATGCGGTAGCCAAGGTCGCCGGAATGCCCGGCAACCGGTTGCACGGCGCTACACCGACTCTGCAGAAGCTGGATAACACATCCTGAGGAAGATCGAGGGCATGTCGCTTCGCTTGCTAATCGTCATGTCCTTGTAGACGGATACGGTTGGGCGCTTTCAGCGACGAGGCGCTTAATATTTCAGAATGATGTACAGGGCGTGGATAATACCAGGCAGGTAACCTGAGTGTGTTAGTTATGAAGTCATGGCGATTGAAAGGAACGAAACTTACCAAGGATGGTCAATAGGATGTTGATGAAGAAGTCAGCGCCGCAGCCACGCTCCAGGAAAACACCAACGGGAGGCAGGATAACGGCAAGGATGATCTTGCAGATGTCGGAGGCGGTGAAAGGCATCTTGAATGAGGTTTGTAGATCTTTCTAAGAGGTGTTTGGTTGTTTGTGAGTAGTGGTTCGTGAAGATATCTCGAAAATCCGATGTGTGACGGTTGTAGGTTCGTTGATGGCAAGGGGAGAAGAGAATAGTAAGTGGGCTGGGGACGAGATGCTTAAATAGAAGGATCAGGGAGCAACACTGGCAACGGGGGGAAGCCACGACCCGACGCAGAACAGAAAAAGGCAAGGTCGAGCTCACAGTGATGTGATGTGGACTGCATGGGGCCCCCTTCTCGTTCTACCTTACGTCTGACAAGGAACAAGCCAGTCTCGGGTGGTAGGCCAGAGAGGTCTGGAAAGCAAACCCAAGCACCCAAGCACCCCAGCACCCCAAGCGCATCCCAAGACGGGCCAACGAACATGCGTCCCGGCCGGTCGCCGCAAAGGCTTGGGGGGCGTGATATGAGTTGGTACATGCGTCATTGACCCATTCCCGGTTTGCTGCGGCAGGAGTAAGGGACATTCGACAGTGTAGTGTACGTAGCTACGGAGTACATGCACTGGAGTGTCTTGGAGGTGGGTAAGATGGGATGGCCTCTGGGCCGTGCGTTGCGTATGAGCCACACCACTATATCCCTCCGCCCACTTTTCCAAGCCATGACCTTGCTATCCCTTCTGGCATCCGTTCTGTGCAAGTCTTTGGAGTAAAACATGGACCCCAGCGGAGCTGTAGTACGCCTTTAAGACGTATTGCCGTACTGGGCACTTCCTGCCTTCCGTCGTCATGCCTCTGCTATCTTATGCCTGGTCGCCTTCATGCTCGCTGCCGGGTTTCCTCGAATAGCGTCGACGAAAGCCCATTTTCGGTTTTGCAACACGCCCCATCACAGCCGACTGCATTCTTGGTTGCATCGCTTGCTTGTGCGCTCTCATTGAATCCTCTCTTCTGATCTACTAGGTAGATCGAATCTCATTGCGCGTCCTTCCCACCCCTCTGCCCAGCCTTTCCTGCCGTCATTGGGACTGAGACCCAGCACGGCCAGTCCGGGCTGCCTCCAGAAAAGCGTTCTCCGAGGCTGTCAGTGCATCCAACCATGCTTGCTTTACCCCACGTACCTTAGCACTTGAGTATGCGTAAACTCTCTTTTTTGTTTTGCGAAGCGCTACGTCATCAGTCTATCCCTTGCTAGCGTCGTCTCTTAGTACGAGCACTACGTTTTCTGACTGTCCCTCTTACTCATCACTCCACGCACCGTCATCCACACAAAATGGCGAGAAGCAGTCAGGGGACTTCCCAGGTCTCCATTGACCTGCAGGTGATGAGCCACACACGCCACACTCGGTGAGCTGATCTCCTGCGTAGTATGGCGCAGAAGTATTGACTCAGCCACATTTCCAATCCTGGACGTCCGAGGTTCGCATCCAATCCAAGGTTGATGCCACTCTTTCTACAGCGGATATCGGTCCGTCTGCGCTGGCTGCTATGGAGAGGAAACGCACGACATGGTTACCAAAGTGAACGAGTAGCGACATACCCCACCCTGAAGAATTCCTTTCCCTTCGTCGTGACTTCTTCTCCATCCGAGTGCTGCACTAACTCCCTCGCTCGAAAACCTGCCAGTGCTTGTCTCACCAATGATACCAAGGTCCCTGTGACTTATGACGCAAGGGGCCTGGTCATGCCCGGCGGCAAGAAAGCCAAGTCGGTTCGGCATCGAGCAAGGCTGGGACGGAGACGCGGCCACCCGGGGCAAGGAAAAAACAAAAACTGGCGCACTCTAGTTCTCATACCACTGACTCAAAAATTAGCAGTGTATCAACAAACAGTTCAACGTTTATTGGACAAATACTATCATACAAATAAATCAAATTCAACGTAAGGCTGTTTTCTCTATCATTGAGTACGGTTTCCCTCCCAGTCAATTGCTTATTGTAGCCTGGCCTGCATTGAATCTAGATTACTACGTGTGATGGGTATATTTAACCGGATAGTCAGGTATTGCCCCACGACAGGGGCTCAGACAGATGGCTGGCAAGGGGGTGAAAATGGCTGACATAAGCGCAACGCATCCAAATTGATTAATTTCTATGGGCAAAGTCAATACTTGATATGTAACCCATTGGCCTCAATCACTGCCTTACGGAAAAAGTGCTGCTGGCAATAGGTGGATTAGTTGGATGGATATGGGACCTCTGATTGGCTGGTTAAGTGGGTATGGGCTGCCCCATAGGTACTTGCCTAGGGGGTTAAACTTTGGCCTGACACCGTAGTAAGGTGTGCTGGTTATTTCCTACCCCCGGTGGCGGCCTGTCTCCGCTTTTGTGACGGGGCCCACGGACGACGATAGCCCTCGGACCCTTGGCGACGTCCATGTCGTAGGTTTGGTAGGGCTGGGCTGGGCTGGGCCGGACTGACAAGGCTAGTGCTATGGCTGGAGTTGTGTGGTGTAGTATACCAGGCCGGATGGCAGGATTCTGAGCCGCTAAGCTCTGATTGAATGCCACGACTATACGTGGTAAAGGCTCAAGGAGGCAATAATGCCGTCGTCGCCGCATTTCGCACCCTTGTCCAGATCTGAGGTCACGTCTTGATGATGTTTGCTTCTTGTTTTGGCCAAGCGATTGACAATCGGCTGCTTGCTATTTTACAGATTATTACACGAAAGCCAAGTGTGGTTAACCTCACACTAGCTCCGTTGGAGAGCATTCTAGGTCGTTTAGGCATGACGTGAGCTTGTATTTCCTCCAGTCCTGGCTGGAGTCTAAGACATGGCACGCATGACCTGTCGAGGTCGACTAGAAGCGGCGCGGGCGAATATGCGCCCAGTGATTGGGATCCGATACGGAATCAGGCTTCCGCACTCGCTCACAGTTGCTTTTTGATGATATTTTGGCTTTGGTTTCTACCAGGCATGCCCGAGTAACTTACTCATCATCTTCTGAGAAGACGGCCATCTTTTTTCCAAACGCTAACGTGCCGCCAATCGTCTTGCCGAGAATGTAGCCGGCGTAGAGACCACATAGGATTGTGACAGGCCACTTCTGCCATTCGCGGTCCCAATCCAGAGGAATAGGGACTGCGCCGAGCCACGCACCCAGTACGCCCCCCACCAGACCGCCGTATGCCTCGTCCAATGGCGCAGCCGCGCTAGCAAGAGCTACCCACGTATTCGCTTCGACTCCATGAACGTAGAAGAGGGGGAACAACGAAAGAATAGCGACGTTGGCGGAGCAGAGAAGCGTGTGAGGGACATGCGTCAGAAAAGGGGCGCCGAAGAGAATAAGAACAAGGTGGATGGCAGGCGTGACGAGGACGGCAAGGAGGAAAGATAGGAATATAGCCTGGATGTTAATGGTTAGAAGGAAGCTTCCCCCTGTTAAGTTGTAGAACAACTCACGATAAAGGGGTTCGGTCCCGTGCTCTCAACCTTCTTCTTCTCACCCAGCCGAGGCTTCCTTGAGGGCTTCGCGCTTTGCGAACCAGCTGCGGGAAGACTGAAAAAGGCGTAGACGACTTGGATCGCAGCGACAATCGGGAGGGAGCTGTACAGAGCTGGTACGGGATCGGCCACCAATGAGCCGAACTGCGCGAAGAAGAGGCCGGAGAGAAGCACCGGCTGGACGTGTCGGACGACCTGCGCGGTAGGGCTCGTTAGGGCGTAGACGGGATGCAGTCCGTCTTTCGGCTTGCCCGCGTCGGAAGCGGCCTTTGATGATGGCTTCGACATCGTCACGGGGTCAACCAGTGGCATGGTGGGATGAGTCGATTTCGGACGGGTTCGGACTCAATCTCCAAGGCTGCTTGGTCGAGGGAGGATACGGGTTAATTTCGTGACGGCGGACACCCGGAAGGTCACGGCCCAGGTAAAATTCCGGATCGGCGCGTCTGAACTGGCACGCAGGTATTCGCCTAGGTCACATGACGATAAGAAAAACGCTTGTTCGATAAGAATCCCCAGATTCCTTGGACCAATCAGCTTCTTAGTACCCTCTCGTGGGGGTCAACCACTGGAATATGATGTACGTATCTGCACCAATGCACTGCACAGTCGCCCTGTCAAACTCACAGGGTTTCTCTCCAGGTCAGAAGAATGCAGCTCGACAATGTCATCTCATCTTCTTCGGGGTTTGCAAGGCTGTCATCTGTCGACCATTCCCCGGGATTCGCCCTTGCCGGCGTACCCAGCCGGTCGGAGCCCATGGGCTGATAGCTGGCTGAGATGGTCAGCAGTAACAATCCCTTCATTCGCCAGGTATATAGGCCCCTAGGCGCACCCAATCAGCGTCTTGCGTCGGTGGCCCCCGTCAGACCACATCACCCCATTTGTGTTAACAGTCGTCAGAATATTGCCTGGAAACGCACGATCGCCCGTTCGACTGTTATTCCTTGTACAGAAATCCAGCACCTGTAATCCGGGGATTTGCGGCCACGGTCCCCAATTTCGCGCTGCGCTTGTACACCCGCGGCTGGCGCCTATTGGGCAGGATATTCCATTCATTCGCACTGCTGCAGAAAGGAGAAGAAGAAGAAACCTTGACCCTTACTTTTTTTTTCCTTTCTTAGGAGGATCCATCTGGAAGATGGGATGGCATGATCTTTCCCCTGCCTAGATAGGAAGCCTCGTTCGTTTCCTGCCCAGGTACGACAATCTTACGGGTAAAGTTGCCCGCCCATCTGCCCACAATAGGCGTTCGCCGTTGGGAATTCCGATGTTGTTTGTCAAGATTCACAGATCCCGTATGTACGTGGCTGGAAGTCCTTTTCTCCTTGGTATAAGATCCGAAGGAGGATCCCGTCTGTTGTGCTCCTGTTTCCATCTCATCATCACACATCAACAACATAGTTTTTCAACTCAACCGTCAACCCAACTCTCCACTACATCTTTCGTACGAGTGTATATACACAACCGCCTCACTCTCCTCAATCAACCAAAAGGGTCCTCACTTGACTTTTACACATACACACACACAATCCCCACTTCTCCAATCATCACTCAATATGTCTCCCGCTGTCGCCGCTCGCAACGCCGTCCGTTTCGCTGTCCAGCGCAGACAATTCACTCTCCTCCACAACATGCGCCAAGTCGCTCGGTCCTTTGAGCCACACCCCTTCCAGAGGATGTCACAGAGTGGTGTTCACGCAAAGCCCTTCTACGGCGCTATGATTAAGAAGCGTCTTGGCACTGCAGCACTGTAAGCGACAGCAACAGCCGTGCAGGCTGCCCAGACGAAAACGACTGACACTATCGTATAGCTTCTTCCCCACAGCTTTAGCCATCCTTGGTTGGCCCTATGTCAGCTACAAGACCTTTGACGGCCGCATTTGAGCCGTCTTTCCTTATTGTTGTTCCTCAGCAAGGAACGATTAGCAACGAAACAGGAGTTGGAAGCTGGAATTGAAAATTCGATTTACATTACGGAGATACATGTACATATCTTGAGCATCTCACGGCGTTCGGCTGGCTTCTTGAATACATCATCAGTAGAAGTCCATACGGACCATGCATAATTTACTTTGTTCATATATGAATAACTGCGTATATTCTCGTTTCAACCTCTTCCAATCGACTTCTGAGCGAGATCAGCCTTTTGCACTTATGATACCCTCGTCTTTCTCTGGTATGAATAACATTGTGTCCTGCCTCACTTACAAGACTTACAGGGCCCTGTGAGTGGCCTGTGCTCAACAGCTTGAGTCGCGCTACTCCACTTTCATCCTAGCCATTCGCGCCCCTGCAGCTCCCCGGACTGAGACCGCGTCGTGTTGAAGCTGTCCTCCAATTTTGACCACTCGACAACACTCGGCATCCCTAGGCGATCACGACGGCCACGACTGTGACGAAACCTAGCACTTGGCTGCTAGCGATAAGGATCAAGCTCGACGAAGGCCCGCTCTCGAGTGTCACTGGTCATCTGCGCACGAAACGCCCCCACTTATCGTCACCGCCAGACCAAGAAACAAAGGGGTTTCCGCCGCGAAAGGATCGAGCACGCCGTACTACGCACGACGAGCCAGAAAGACGGCCAAGGCTAGCTGAACTGGTGGCCTTCGAATGCATCTATCAACATGACGGATTCTCTGCACAACGCGCCCATTGTCCTGGACAATGGCTCCGGCACGATCCGTGCCGGTTTCGCAGGAGACGACTTGCCAAAGTGCTACTTTCCCTCGTTTGTCGGCCGTCCCAAGCACCTGAGAGTGCTTGCCGGCGCGCTCGAAGGCGAGGTCTTCATCGGGCAGAAGGCGGCAACGGAGCTCAGGGGTCTGTTGAAGATCAGATACCCGCTAGAGCACGGCATCGTCACGGACTGGGACGATATGGAGAAGATCTGGGAATACGTGTACGGCGAGGGACTTAAGACGCTTAGTGAAGAGGTTGGTCCGGCATCAATAGCTTTATGAGGTGCAACGCACCCAGGACGCTCCATTAGATACTAACCTATCTGCAGCATCCCGTCCTCCTGACCGAACCGCCCCTCAACCCTCGCAGCAACCGCGACACCGCCGCCCAGATTCTCTTCGAGACCTTCAACGTCCCCGCGCTGTACACATCAATCCAGGCCGTCCTGTCATTATACGCCAGCGGCCGAACGACGGGCATCGTTCTCGACTCGGGAGACGGCGTGTCGCACGCTGTGCCGGTGTACGAGGGTTTCGCCATGCCGAGCAGCATAAGGCGGATAGACGTGGCCGGTCGTGACGTGACGGAGTATATGCAGATGCTGCTGCGCAAGAGCGGCTACGTTTTCCACACGAGCGCCGAGAAGGAGGTCGTGAGGCTCATTAAGGAGTCCGTCACGTATGTGGCGCACGACCCGAGGAAAGAAGAAAAGGAGTGGGCCAACAGGACGGACCCTACCAAGGGTGTGGAATACGTCCTTCCGGACGGACACAAGCTCAAGGCAAATACATGATCTGACACCTCATATGGATGGGAAACAGTGGTTAACGACCATCGCAGATTGGCGCGGAACGTTTCAGGGCGCCGGAAATCCTATTCGACCCCGAGATTATTGGCCTCGAGTACCCCGGCGTGCACCAGATCGTCGTCGACGCCATCAACCGGACAGATCTCGACCTGCGCAAGTCGTTGTACAGCAACATCGTGCTGTCCGGCGGCAGCACGCTGACGAGGGGCTTCGGTGACCGACTACTGACGGAGCTGCAGCGGCTGGCCGTCAAGGACATGAGGATAAAGATTTTCGCGCCTCCCGAGCGCAAGTACTCGACGTGGATTGGAGGAAGTATCTTGGCTGGTCTCAGCACCTTCCGCAAGGTCAGTTTCCCGGCACGCCTCGTGAGCACGGGAATTGAAGGCGCTGACTTTGATACAGATGTGGGTGAGCATCGACGACTGGCACGAGAACCCGGAGATCATCCACACTAAGCTTACGTGAAACGTGGTCTCGTTTCCGATTGTATGGACGAAGCTATTTCAAAGTGACGTTTCCCCTGGCGTGTTCCCGTTGATACATCTAGGGCCGTAATTCGTCAGCCTTTGCGGCAGTGACAAAGGGGGTTAGACGGATGATGAACACCCATGAAGCTTAGACGTGATGAGTTATAAGAGGGAAAGGGGGGCTTGGGGGTTGGACTGGCTAGATCTGAGATTACCCCCGATAACAAACGGCCTTCGCATAACCGGCGTTGTAGGCAAAGGCAGCGATGTTGATTGAGGTAATGCGTCAGCTAGAAAGTTGAGAATGATACCCGAATCTGTTGTCTCGTTGACACGTGTGTCTTGGTATGAAATCGTCTAGGCCACGAGGGATACCTGGAGTGGTCAAGGGTATTTGGGCCTGGGCGCTTGCTTCACCATGGGCTCTGCCGAGGATGCCACGGGGGCATGGGGTTGTTATTCGTTTGCATCAGAACATTTCTTTTTTCCCTTGGCCTCGCAACCATTCTAGTACCGGTACCAGACGCAACCTTATCTGTTTGCCACACGACGCGGGCGCCTACAGAATATCCCCCCCCCCCGGGCTCCCCTGTTTGCTTTGTCGCTTATCGCAAGTCTGCCAGCCCCCTCGTAGCCCTCCCTACATGGTTTTATATCAGTTATCGGCCACGGGGTGAACATGCGAGCGACAGCTCCGATCCGGATCGAAGCAAACGGCCTTCCGGTCGCTTAGGGGTCGCCTTCGAGGCCAAAGATTCTGCACAGGGGAAAGAAGGGCTCCCCGGTTGGAGAACGACGACCTCCTTGCTGCGCAGTCCACTCGAGGCGAGGGGGGGGGGGGGGGGGGGTGGTCTAGGCAAAGACGCAGCAGGCCTCTCCCCGTTCACCATGGTCTAGTCATCGTATCAGTAATCTTTCGACTCGCGGGAGGCTTTTGTTGCTTCTTGGCAGAGTGTGTAACTGGTTCATCTCGTTTGTCTAGATCTGGTCAAGTGGGTGGTGAACGTAGACCACACCCCCCCCACAGCCCACGTTTTCTTCCCAGATCAGAGCCCAGCACAAACAAACCATATACAAAGATGGGGTTCAGCGACAAGATGCACAGTCCCCTCTCCCTGCGAATCCTCTGGGAACCCGATACTGCGTTCGATTTGCATGCAAGAACACGCTTGGCGTCACAGTAGTGAATCATGCATGCTGCTTCATCACCAAGTGCCAAGCCAGATATGGCTACTGCCATAGCCGCTTAAACCCTCGGTTGTGCGCCGTGTGCTGGGAAAGTGGATGCGAAATCCACGAATGCATACAATATCGTTCAATAGGTGGTACAACAAGGATGAAATTTTGAAACATATGATATTCAAGAGACGTTATCTCTGATCAAACTTTTGCTAAACAACCAGATATCTGGGGGTATTGTGTCCGCTCGCTCGCTAGCATATCACGTTCATCAGAAACAGACGCCCATAACTTTCCACCATGCTCCCTTGTTGTTGTTTCCCATCCCTTCGCTCCGCGAGTCCCAAATACTGCAGATGAAAGAAGAAGAAAAGCCGTCTGGAATCTACCAGAGTTTCCCGAGAACCGCTAGTCGTTTGTTTTGCTCTGAGACAACCCTGTCTCTCGCTTCTACTCTCCCCAGCCCGCTGTGGCCGGCTCGCCGATGAATTGTTCCCATTGGTCGATGTGAAATCCCGACCCGTGCTTGTTTCTCCTTTTGTTTTGGTTCCCATGTAACTCCGTGCCTTTCCTTTAAGCAGGTTTGCGATAATGAAGTAGTGCTGAAGAAATCTGTACAAGATGCGTTTGTGTGTGTCTGTGTTTGTGTGTCTGTACGACCGGTCATCCCGAAGAGGCACTCAGTTGTGCCTGGAGGTGACACGGCGCCAGACGCTGCCGCCGCGCTTCTTGAGAGACTTGAGCGAGGAGACCTCCGAGGTCGAGGACTCGCTGCTGAGGACGGAGGAGGCGTCAGAGCCCTTGCGCATGACGTTGCCGGCGCCGCCGATGCCAACATGGCCGGTGGCGGTGCGGTCGCGGACCTCCTGGCGCTTGAAGTCCTCCTCGAAAGTGCGGACGGCTTGCTCTTGCGCCGTGTGACGGTTGCCCGCGCCGCCGATGCCCGAGTAGAAGCGGCGGGGCCCGTTGACGGAAGCAGGCTGGAGTGGCGTGGTGATGCCGGCGGCGGGGGTCGTCACGGGGGCCCGGAAGATGTTGCCTGCGCCACCGCGGCCAGAGTAGGTGTAAGTGTTTGGTGCCACGGTTGGGTGAGGCTCGGTGATGAGGATCTGGGAAGGCATTTTTGTGGTTTTGTGTATTGGTGGCCGAGTTTGAGGTGTAAGGCAAAGGTAGTGGTGGTGATGTTGGGCGGGGTGTAAGTGATATGTCGACCACAAATGTCGTCTGAACTCACAGGACGTGACAGGTGTATAGGGGTGCCTTGGGTGTCTTGGATGTGTCAATGATGAGAAGGGGATCCTCGTGAGACACAAGTGAGAGGAGGCCAAGGTTATTATAGGCAATGCCCTGGGGAGAGAGGCATAGGGTGTGTGAGTGGTGGTAGTGGAGAGGAGGTGTTAGTCTCTCGCCAAGTGGATGGGCAGAGCAACAAGACAGAAACGAACAGGCCTTTGCAGTGTCCTCCTGACATGCAAAAGGTTTCCTCCCCCATGCCCCCCCATGGCTGAACGACGGCGTTGCACTCGCAAAGCGGCGCGTATGAAATGGAAACCAGATCTTCCTCTCACTTGAGGGACAAAGGGTACGTAGTCTACGTTCACACCAGTACGCAGGGCTTTGATTTTTTTCCCCCCTCTGACTCTTTTTAGCGCTAGTCGGGACCAGAAGAAAAGGAAAGGGAAAAACCCCCCCAGAAGCCCACTCTAGGAAAAGTTTTTGGGCTTCCGGTTCGAACGGGAAGAAAAGAAAAAAAAAAAACTGGAGGCGTAGCCAGATCTTGGTCGCAGAGAGAGAGAGAGAAGAAAAAATTAGCATGGTTCCTCAAGGCCCCGAAACGACGGGAGCGGAGCTAGGTAGTCCATGGATTAGCTTGGTTTGCTAGGAGTTTACGCGGTGGAGGCGAGAGCGCTTTTTTTTTTTTTTTTTTTTTTTTTTTTGCTCAGAGTCGTGATGATGTGATGTAGACAGTATTCTTTTTTCTTCCCCCTTCCCTGCAGCATGCCCTTGATGTGTGTGAGACGGGATCCATTTCGGAGGCAGGCTGCATATGTTGTGACGTCTGCCTGTCGACTCATGGTGCTGCCATTATTGCTCCGAGCAAGTAGTGTTACCGGTACTGGACATGGCAAACTGCCCTTATCGGCAATAAGCAATCATGTCGATGGAAGTATAGTACCGCACTTTGTTTTTCGTGATAAGAGCAGCAAAAAAGCAACGACTTGGCCACCTCCAAGCGTGGGCAGCAAACAGTTCTAACACCTCGCTAACCTTCCACCACTCTTCTCATCACTCGTCTTTTCTTTCATTCTCCTTCCCACACACACACTTGTTCGTTCCTTACCCTCTGGTGGTCCGCGTGACACACCGGCCCTTCAGGGGCGCGAACGAGTTTTTGCAATCACGCGGACCTCCCCCTCCTTCGAACAAACAAGAATTGCTGGATTCGCGCCGCCTAGCGAGGGAATTAGAAAGAAGAAAAAAAAGACGCCATCTTGGAGCAATCGATGGGGTAAAGCTTTGCTAACCGATTGCCGCTTTCGTCCGTAGCGTCAGCCTTGAGGCGGCCAGGAACTGGGGGGAGGATTGGAGAAGACGGGGCTAATGCAAGGAACGTGGAGCGTGCTGAAGATGGAACGCCTGCGAAAAGATGCTGTTCGTTCCTTCGTAGTCACCTTAGGTTGCCTGTTTGGCATGCTGGCTGCTGGCAAGCAGATTTTTTTTTACTTGCGAAGCCGATGTTTGCTCTCGTCATCTAGCTAGGGGTGGCGGCTCCTCTGAAGAGGGGGCACCCACCCCTGCTAGGACCAACAGCTTGGCCCGGCCCCCGACGACGTCAAGAGTCCGACCTCCACCCCCCGAGGCGTCGACCACTCATCAGTTTCCTGGGGGTAATGGAAATATGCTTGCCGCGTCCACGATGGTCACCGGACCTCGCGCCCCGTGTCTGATGCCACGAATCCGTTGCAGGTTTGAGACCATACGACGACTCAAACAAACACGCACCGGCATGCTTGACGCTCTCGCTCAAAACAGAATAAAATGAATTGCCGCTCGACCCATGGGGGAGAGGGGGTGGGCAAACGTACCTGTTTGCCAGCCGGCCGTTCGTCGGCTTGCTTCGCTTCACGACAAACTAACTGTCGCATCTCGGCATCTCGTCCAGCTCGGACAGTTAGATACCCACTATCCTGGTATGCCCACCTGATCATCGATCGAGGTAACCCCGAGACACTGAGTGACATATAAATTACCGAGAGAAGGGAACGATGCGGGCGGCAGCAGCCAGCGACTCCAGGGACTGTCCTCGAGTCCCGACGGCCACTTACTTACATGCCTTCTTTGTCCCATGGCCACAGCAGCCGACGAAGCAAGCAGAGTCGGCGCGGGCTGCACGAAGCCATCATCCGCATAGCCATTGAATAAATATAAACAGCTCATCGCTGAAGTGCTCCTTCGCTAGGCACGATCTCCTCCTCTCCTCAGGGCAATGTGAAGCGCGTCCCCGAGGCGCCCCGAAGAATCCAGCCACAACGCCGACACCACCTTGACTTAACTACACATCTGAAGGAGACCGCCGTCTTCCTCCACCTCGGACCTAGCCGACTGTGGTTCCGTATGATGACCCTGGAGCCTCTTCCCCAAACGCCCACCCCCTCCCCTATCTACCCCGCATTTCAACCCCTTTTCTCGTAGGCAGCTGAGTTCCCCAGACTTTTGATGGTGCAATCCGATCACGAGGCCGACCCAAGAGGGGAAGGAGGCGAACGTAAAAGAGAGGGGAGGGCCCCTTTCATTAGGTAATTGGCGTGTTGCCCCAGGGCTGAGCGCCCGCAGAAACGTGGTCGGCACCGTTGTACCGGAACGTCCTTCCCGGCCCTGGAGAAGTCATGGGTGCCGCGGGGGTTTTGACGGATCTTGGTCGTTCCATCTTCGTATTGTAATGGTGTCGAGCGCGGGAACACTACTTTGCGAGATGCAGTCGGAGGAGGTCTTCTCTCGATCTCATAGTCGCATGTTGCAATCCAGGCCGGCCATGCTCCTGCCATCAACATAGCATGGCGGTCGTGGATTCAGCACTTTCGGCAGCTTCTTGAAACTCCAGCTCCCGTGACACCTCAATATATGCCTTGACGGTTTCTATCACCACGGCCCAGGACGGGGCCCAATGGTTGAGTGCGGAACATGAGAAGCAGTACCCCCAGCGCTCTGTTTCTAGTTATGCTTACTTGCTCCACCAAACGAGGTCTGGTTTGCGATGCCACTGTGGCTCTTTTTCAATAACCATGGTTGAGATCAATTATTGTTGAATGGGCTTCGTACATGCATGTACTTGGTAAAAAGTAGGGGTGAATTAACTTCTTATTAGGTGACTAAACAGGTCTACTCTACTGTTGTCGTACAAAGCAGTTATATACTACTTAAGTATAACTTAAGTCATTCTAGCTAACTAAAAGTATAATCCCCTCTTAATATAACTAAGGGCTAAATAACTAGTCTATGCCCTTTAACCTTAAATTATAAACTATTTATAGTTAACTAACTAGGTGTTATATAATTATTAGTATTAATATTCTAACACTTACCTTTCTTCTTTTATAATTATATATACTCTTATATTAACTAATTAAATAGTTTTAATTAGTTCTTATAATAACTTTACTTTTAGTAGCCTACTGTTATATATAAAGTTATTTAAATAAAAATAAACTTTAAATATATCTTTTCTAAGAGTAAATATAAGGTAATACTTACTAAGCTAATTAAATCTATTCTTTTATATATACTTCTTTGTTTAGTTATTTCTAAATAGTTACTTACTTATATAATAAGTTTTTACTTTACCTTTACTTTTTCTTTTGCTTTATATTTATATACCTTTCTTTCTTTTATATAATTAGTAGCCTTAACTTCTCTTATATAAATACCTTTTACCTTTTACTTTCTTTTTCTTTTTTTCTTTTTTCTTTTTTATACTTTTTTAATAATAATAAATAATATATAAAACTTTACTAGTATAGTAACCTTACTACTTCTTCTTCTCTATTTTTCTTTTATATATTAATTAATTAATAACTTCTCTTTCTCTCTTTTAACTTATTAATTATTTATTACTTTATATATATCTTCTTCTTTTTATTATTATTAACTTTTACTAATTTATAATAGATCTTTTTTATATATTATAATAGCTTAGCTTAGACCTTAGCCTTTAGTTATTAGTTCCCTTAGGGTTTAATAGGACTAGAATAGTATAACCTAGCTTTATATCTTAATAAGTAACGCCTACAACTACGCTTTTCTCCTAGCTTTTACTATTAATATATAAGGTTCTTTTTTCCCTATTATAGTTTATATATACTAACTTTTATTAAACCTTTAGGATAAAGAATA